TCGGTGCAGGGCGCGGACGCGTTGTGCGGCGGGTACAGCACGAAGGGCGCGTTGTCGTTGGCGTCCAGCACGCGCACGCGCACGAGCGCCTCGCTGCTGAGCGCGGGCGAGCCTCGGTCTGCGGCGCCCACGCGGAACTCGAAGGCGCGCAGGGCCTCGTAGTCCAGCGCCCGCAGCGCGAACAGCTGCCCGGTGTCGGCATTGATGGACACGAGCGAGGCGAGGTCGGGCTGTGGCTGCTGCTGCGGGTGCGGCTGCGGGTGCGGGTGCGGGTGTTGGGGCGGCAGCAGCGAGTAGGTGACCTGGGCATTGGAGCCTGAGTCTCTGTCTGTGGCGCTGATGGTGCCTATGAGCAGGGCGGGACTGTTGTTTTCTGGGACGAAGAGGGTGTAGGAGGATTGGGTGAAGGTGGGGGCGTTGTCGTTGATGTCGGAGACCTGCAGGGTTATGGTGTGCTGGGTTTTGAGCCTGGGTGTCCCCAAGTCCGTGACCGTGATCGTGATGTTGTATTCTGACTTTTTTTCTCTGTCCAGTGCACCCTCTGTGAGTAAGGTATAGAAATTTTCTACAGTAGATTTCAGATTGAAAGGAAGGTGATTCTGGATAGAACATACCATTTTTCCATTGTCTCCAGAATCTGGATCTGAAATTTCAAAAATAGCGACTACAGTTTCTGGAGAATTTTCTGGGATATCACTGATGAGTAAAGACGTGATCAGTTCCGGAGCATTGTCATTTACATCCATCACTTCTAGCTTTACAGTGCATTTTCCTGAAAGACCTCCACCATCTGATGCCTCAACTTCCACATGGTAAAATTTTGTCTCCTCATAATCCAACAATTTTTTTAACCTAATCTCTCCTGTGTTTGTGTTTATTTCAAATGTTTGCATGACTTGACTTGAGGATTGGAAAAATGTGTAGGAGAGCTCACCATGTGTTCCAGCGTCTAAATCTCTAGCGGACACTGTGATGATGTGGAAACCTATAGGGCTGTTCTCTGGGACCTGCACCTTGTAAAGCCCCTGACCAAATTCAGGGGCATTGTCATTGATGTCCAGGATCATGATGTGAACTTGGGCAATCCCAGTCCTGGGCGGAGACCCACCATCTAGTGCAGTGAGGGTTAACATCATCTCAGGCTGCTCCTCATGGTCCAGTGCTTTATCCAGCACCAGCTCTGGGTATTTCCTCCCATCATTGTGATCACGAGTAACAAGATGGAAATGGGAGTTAGTGCTAATTGTGTAGTTCTGCACTGTGTTGTTACCTACGTCCAAATCTTGAGCTATTTTCAAAGGAAAGGGAGTCCCTGGGCGGCTGCTTTCTGAGATTTTAAGGAGGATTTCATTTTCCAAGAATTCTGGGTCGTTATCATTTATATCTTGGAGCTGTAATTCACCTTGAATAAACTGCAGTGGGTTTTTCAGTAACACCTGGAAAGGCAGTAGGCATGGGTCTGTGTCCCCGCACAACTCCTCCCGGTCCAGTTTTTCTCTTAGAAGCAAATTCCCACTCTGTTCGAGCTGCAAGTGCTGTTTGCTTCCTTTCGAACGAACCTGGGCACCCCGCACAGCCAGCTCCCCCAGACCCAGCCCAAGATCTTTCTCTAGGTTGGCTACAAAAGAGCCTCTGTCGCTCTCTTCTAGAACAGAATACTTAATGGTCTCACTCCCCACCTCCCGCAGTAGTAATAGGAAAAGAATGGCAGTCACTTGCCTTTTCGCTGGCGCTTTGGAGAGCAGCATCTCTAACGTTTCTCTTGGTCCAAATGATGCAGTATTTAAGAACACAATCATTGCTTTATAGCCAACTCCGTTCTCTTGGTTTAATAACCGTGAGTTAGATCTCCTTTACACGACTGACATGGTAATAACTGCTCTTCTGAAACAGTCCAACTCTAGTAATATGTTTCCGTTGTAAATTTCCAGAAAATGCCCAGCTTTTAAGGAGTCACTAATCCTGCATTTTTTCACTCTCTTATCCTGCAGCGCCACCAAGCGTTCTGATTTACAACTTCAGATAATTTTCCTTACAAAGTACACTGAAATACTAAAATGCGTTGTCTGTCTTCGTTCATAACTCATTTTGCAATCTTATTCAGGCCAGTAAGAATAGTTATTGGAAGAAAAGTAACATCTACCTCTATATTTGCCCTCATCTTAAAGTTATTCGTTCAATACAAAAAACTCTGATGAAAGAAATTCATTTTTATTTTTGTACTAGGTAACAAAATCAGGATCTTCACACTGAGCTACATTGCCAGTTCCCTTCTAGTTCCAAAGTTAGTATAGCAAATGCAGCAAAAATTCTTGCTGTTGGGAAACAATATATTATCTATATACCTCTCTCATATATAATATATGTTCATTCATTCCAGTGTTTTAGGCAAAATTATGAATTAAATTTGGATTCCCAATATTGTAGTATGACTATAACTCACATAAGAAGAGTAAAATGTGATTTCTTGTCACCCTCCAGGTCACATAGCCTTAGGAATTTTTTTCTTTCATAAATTCACTGAGTGAAGTGCCCACTGAAGCTAAGAGATGGGCATTTGTTTTATTAGAAATATGTATAGGGTTATTATAAATATAAATTATCAGAATATCAAAGAGTGCCTTTTCTATGAACACAGAGATGATGGTAAAGAAAACAAAGGGATAAAACACATACTTTCTGAGGAAGGTTTTCACCTGTGCAGACTGGACTTGTCCTCCAGACTATGGAGATGGAGAAATTGAAAACCACCAAATCTCCAACTAAAGCTAAGTGCTTGGAGTGAGAAGATTAAAAAAAGCAAAACCTTCCAAAGAATACAGAAGGAAATACCTGTGAATAACAAACAGCAAATGCTTCCAACACTCCTTAAGGCAACTGGTAATTGTCCATGAAAATTAAATTTTTTGAATGCAAAACACATTAAGATTTAGTCCATTTAAATTAATAATGAAAGAAAATATTCATCCTATTGTCATTTTCACATACATTGCTTTGCAATAGAAACTTGAAAACAAAATTCGGTAAAATATCACAAGTCTAAACTGAACAAGACTAAATCTGAGATAGACTGTGAAACTACATGACTTTATAGTTATTAAAGCATATGCTGCTTTACTCAGCACTAGAAGGGAAAAAACTGACTTACCTAATAAGCTGACACTAATACCCAGCTTAGGTTGAGACAAGTAATGGTTATAAAAATTTTGAGAGTGTGAGAGGAAAAGTTTTAAAAATATAACTTGGATCTGACAAAAGAGTATCTATGAAATTTAAAATTGTTAGACAATACAAGAAGACAAATGTACCCTTAAATGTTTTATAGTCTGGAATAGAATGGATGAATGGAAAGATGCTTTGTTTGAAGGTATGAAGAGACGATTTTTAAACAGAAACATTAATAATTTTACTCATTGGAAAAGGTACTTATTATAGAGAAGGTAGTAACACTTCTTTGTTTCTAAAAAACTTGTTTTAAAAGTAAATATGGGGGCCAGGGAGATAGCTCAGTAGCATAAGCACCTGCCTGGTAAGCACAAGCTCCTGAGTTCAATACCTGGTACAAAAAAATGTGAATACTGGAATGTTAGCAGCATCCAACTAATACTAACTTTTATAAACTAAAACTTAAGTGTTGACAGTTTAGTAAAGTCTGTATTCACAGAAAACATGGATTATATATTATGGTATACTAAAATACACATAAATATGAATGATTATTTAGCATTTAGTCATACTCACTGTATTTGGTATTATAAAAGTCATAACAAAATGAGATGTACCCGGGCAGATTAAATACTACTAACTACTTATATTTTAAATGTAGTTCATTATAGAAAGAGTGAAGTAAGTGTAGCCAATTGTTGAAATACAATTTTAAGAATTTGCAATCTTTTTTTGTAGAAAAGAAAGGTTCGATTTCAAAATTCTAAATTATTCAAATAAAGATTTACTTTTTATTTCAGTTATCAAATTCAGGCAAGTAAGAGTAATAGAAAACTCTGAAGCACAGAGAAAAAACTATCTCCAGAATGCAACTTACTGAAACGTTCAGCCCAAGAATAAAAATGAATTAAGAAACATCACAAACAACATGCATGTAGAGTGATTCAATACTTAACTGAGAAGGAAGCTATTTCGAACGCTGGAACTTTCCTCTATTTCCCTAGCAGTTCCCTGAAGAGGGAGGTTGGGGATAATGGGCTTGAGGAATTTAAACTCATCTGTCCCAGAGCCTCCAGTGAGGCAAACCTCATACTGGTAGGACTGCGACAGCGTCCCCGTGCCGCTGACGTCCACCAGGTGGGCAGGGAAGGGGCCCTCGGGCGCCGCCGAGCACACCCCCAGCGCGGCCGGCCCGCTCCTCCTGCACAGCCTGAGCGCCACGAAGAGCAGCAGCGACAGCAGGAAGAGCGACGACACGGCGGCCAGCGCCACCACCAGGT